TAAATGTTTGATGCAGATGTCAATCTTAATTATAATGCTTGAGCAAACATTTATTGTTCTTCCTCTTGATCTTGCTCATATATTTTTATTGTCGAGCCTGCGACTTTTGTCGCAGAAAGCTCGACATAGGATAGTAATCCGGCGGCGGCGTTAGCTAGCTTCTAACTAAAAAGCTTAATATTTCAGAAGGTAGAAGACATGGATGCTGCATACTTTGTATATGTATGCCTTATGGAATGAAGTTTCCGTATGTCATATGTCCATTGTCCTTGACCTCATTTTCATGGTTTAGTGACTACTTGAAAAAAAAAGTTAAGATTGTTTGTAATGTTTATTTCTTTCTTATTATGAGTAAAAGGTAATAGGATAACTATATTTGGTATGTGCGTACCTTGCAAGGTCCTTATGCCTGTCAGACAGTTTTCACTTGACCTCAACCTCATTTCATGGATCAGTGAACAAGGTTAAGTTTTAGTGGTCAAGTCCATATCTCAGATACTATAAGCAATAGGTCTGCTATATTAGGTAAATGAAATGATTGTATGGTGTACATGTCCAACTGACAGATATCATATGACTTTGACCTCATTTTCACGGTTCATTGCTCTCTATATAGATATTCAAAGATGTGGTATGAGTGCCAATGAGACAACTCTCCATCCCTCTAAGTTAAGTTTTTAACCGGATTTTCGAAGGAAAAATCGGTTATTGATTTGGGGATGTATGACGGGCGGGCGGGCGGGCGGCTGCCAAACAGTGTCCGTTCATTAACATAAAAACACTTTGACGAAATCTTTTCAAATTTAGATATGTTGTTTCCTGTGACTAAATGAAGGTCAACTTCAATTTCACGATTTTAGCTTTTCTTGTTGTTGAGTTATAGCCCTTTTCCAGTAGCCAAAAGTGGTACTTATTATGTGATTGAGTTATTTCCCTTTGAGCAGAAATGATTAATTATATAAGTAAAGTTTGATTACACTTACAGATTTTTAAAAGGCTTTGTATTAATGATAAATGACACTTCGGATTTTTTTTTCCTTTGTAAATAGTTTGAAGAATTTTGTGGTAGGTTTGTTTGTTATTCTATATTAACTAATTTTCTGAATGCTATATATATATATATTATATTTGCCTTCGGGTTTATATGATCCGTTCATCCTATTTTGACTTTTCAAAATTCAAGAGTCAATCCCAAATTGAGGTAAATTATATGGCCTTCCAAATACCGTTTCGATTCCTAACATCACTGAAGAGACATTAATTGTCGAAATCCGGATATGGTGTACAAATTTTTGCACCACATGTTTGCGGTATACCATCTTATCCGCAAGTTTATTGTTATCTGTTTGGAAATAAATTATTTATAAGATCTATTTTGTTACATCTTGTGATCCGTTTATTTGGCAATCGCCAATGGCAGTCAGCAGGGTTTAAGAACATCAGTTGTTCGACCTGCTAGTCAAATGCGTTTTGTTAAAATATACTTTTTCACTCATTTGGTCTTTTGGAAAATGTTGTTTGTGCTGTATTTAGACCCCTCTACAAAGAAATTTGTTTTGCATGCACACGTATAAAAATTGCGGTTTTTATCCAACGCAATCATAGGTTTGAACGTTGTTTTCAATTTAGACTTGTTTATATTTTTTCGTTTGGGCTTGTATTATATTTGCCTTCGGGTTTATATGATCCGTTCATCCTATTTTGACTTTTCAAAATTCAAGAGTCAATCCCAAATTGAGGTAAATTATATGGCCTTCCAAATACCGTTTCGATTCCTAACATCACTGAAGAGACATTAATTGTCGAAATCCGGATATGGTGTACAAATTTTTGCACCTCATGTTTGCGGTATACCATCTTATCCGCAAGTTTATTGTTATCTGTTTGGAAATAAATTATTTATAAGATCTATTTTGTTACATCTTGTGATCCGTTTATTTGGCAATCGCCAATGGCAGTCAGCAGGGTTTAAGAACATCAGTTGTTCGACCTGCTAGTCAAATGCGTTTTGTTAAAATATACTTTTTCACTCATTTGGTCTTTTGGAAAATGTTGTTTGTGCTGTATTTAGACCCCTCTACAAAGAAATTTGTTTTGCATGCACACGTATAAAAATTGCGGTTTTTATCCAACGCAATCATATGTTTGAACGTTGTTTTCAATTTAGACTTGTTTATATTTTTTCGTTTGGGTTTGTATTATATTTGCCTTCGGGTTTATATGATCCGTTCATCCTATTTTGACTTTTCAAAATTCAAGAGTCAATCCCAAATTGAGGTAAATTATATGGCCTTCCAAATACCGTTTCGATTCCTAACATCACTGAAGAGATATTAATTGTCGAAATCCGGATATGGTGTACAAATTTTTGCACCTCATGTTTGCGGTATACCATCTTATCCGCAAGTTTATTGTTATCTGTTTGGAAATAAATTATTTATAAGATCTATTTTGTTACATCTTGTGATCCGTTTATTTGGCAATCGCCAATGGCAGTCAGCAGGGTTTAAGAACATCAGTTGCTCGACCTGCTAGTCAAATGCGTTTTGTTAAAATATACTTTTTCACTCATTTGGTCTTTTGGAAAATGTTGTTTGTGCTGTATTTAGACCCCTCTACAAAGAAATTTGTTTTGCATGCACACGTATAAAAATTGCGGTTTTTATCCAACGCAATCATAGGTTTGAACGTTGTTTTCAATTTAGACTTGTATATATATATATATATATATTGATGAAGTGAACTCCTTTAAAAACTAAGCTTATATTGTCTATCAATAAACATATATTTAGATTTCTTATTTTGGGCCTAGTTTTCAAGTTGGTCCAAATCGGGGCCCAAAATTAAACTGTGTTTGATTTCAACATAAATGGAATATATATAGGGTTATTTGAAATGCTGAATCTAAACCTGTATTTATTTTCATTATTTTAAAATTAGATAATACCACATTGAGGTCCAAAGGGTCCTAAATTAAAATTTTGTTTAATTTCATCAAAAATTGAATTCTTGGGGTTTTTTGATATGCTGATTCTAACAATATTTTAGTGGTTAAATCATATCTAATTTTATTGATTATAATTTGAAAATAGATATAACATTATATCTAATTTTAGAGAACTATTTGTATATCATTTATTCAGTTTGAGTTATTTCCCTTTGAACAGAAAATTGATAAGTATATGGATAAAATTAAACTGTTTCATTTCATCATAAATTAAATATATATAGCGTTTTTTTCAAATGCTGAATCTTAACCTGTATTTAAATATTGGATTTTTGGGCCCAGTTTTCAAGTTGGTCCAAATTAGGGTCCAAAATTAAACTTTGTTTGATTTCAACAAAAATTGAATTTATGGCGTTCTTTGAAATGCTGAATCTAACCATGTATTAAGAGATTTTGGATTTTGGGCTCCTTTATAAAATTGGTCCACATTGAGGTCCAAAGGGTCATAAATTAAACGTTTGTTTGATTTCATCAAAAATTGAAATCTTGGGGTTCTTTGATTTGCTGATTCTAACAATGTACTTAGATTTTGGATATTGGACCATAATAGGTAAATGTCCAATTTCAAATTTTTAGTTCTTTGACCACATTCATTTTGTGTCACAAACCTATGCTGTGTCAAATATTCAATCACAATCCAAATTCAGAGCTGTTTTAAACTTAAATGTAGTGTCCATACTTGCTCAACTGTTCAGGGTTCGACCTCTGCAGGAAATCCGGTTTGCTGTCACTCTGACAGCCTCTTGTTGTGTTTTGGTCTGTTTTTTTAAAACTATAAATAATAGGTCAACTATATGTATATGGAATGATTGTAAGGTGTATATGTCTGTCTGGCAGGTATCATATGACCTTGATCTCATTATCATGGTTCATCGGTGAATGTTACGTTTTCCTGTTTTAGATTGTTTCTTAGATACTGTATGGAATAGGTCAACTATATTTGAACCATGGAATGATTGTAAGATGTGCATGTCTGTCTGACAGGGTTCATCTGACATTGACCTCATTTTCATGGTTCATTGGTCAATATTACGTTTTCCTGTTTAAGTTTGTTTGTTAGATACTATATGCAATAGGTCAACTATATTTGATCCATGTAATGATTGTAAGATGTACATGTTTAACTGGCAGGTTTCATCTGACCTTGACCTCATTGTCATGGTTCATTGGTCAATATTGAGTTTTGATGGTTTGGTTTTTTTCTTGTATACTAGAAGCAATAGATGAACTATATTCAGTGTATGGAATGATTGTAAGGTGAACATGTATTTCTGGCTTTGTTTATCTGACCTTGACCTCATTTTCTTGGATCATGTTAAGTTTATGTGATACTTTTAGTAAAATTTTATATTTAGGACTATCAACATAAAATCAATGGTCAGTAAAGCAGGCGAGACTTTTCAGTGTGTGCACTCTTTGTCTGTTATCAGTATCGTTCCATAAATCTTAACACTTAGTTTTGTTTGTCTGTTTGTGCAGCACCATCGTCCGATTAGTAATAGATTTGCTGTATTTTTTATAGACTCTTATAGATTTATGAGTTTCGAACAGCGGTATACAACTGTTGCCTTTATTTATATATATAATATATATAACAAAAAGAGATTGCAACTTTTCAGTTGATATCGTTTAACGGCTAGCATTAAAACGCGTACCTGTCCATCTATCTGTACTACAGGTGTAACAGGTAACACAGATTAATTTACTACTATGTATGATTCAAAATTCATTATATTGACAACATTCTGTTGTACACGATTGTAAAAAAAACCAATTATTTCGTATTGATTGACGGTAATAGTATGTGCTGTCGACGTACCTGGTCTTAGTCCGTTCCGATTCCTAATTTTGTCTGTTTATTAACCAGACTGAATATCGGTATACTAATATTCAATGATTAAATGTAAGAAGTAACAATATAAAGTCGGGTACATATCATGTTCTTAAAATAACCTTAATGTGTATTATATGTTTATATTTTTGTGTATTTCTAATCGACACAACAAAATGTCTTCCCATAGAAGCAGTTATATTTTCACACCTGAAGCGTTTGATGTACCATATATATCGCTACCTGATAGACTGAAGGAATTGGCGGCAGTACATCCTGAAAGAGAGGCAATGATATGCTGGTCAACGGACGGACAAAGAAGATCGATAACATATTCGGAACTTTACACCCGATCTGAATTATTTGCCAAAGGCTTAGCAACATTTGGATTTGAGAGAAATAGCGTTATTGCTGTGACCAATACAAACTGTACAGAATGGCTTATTTGCACATTTGGGTCACAAATGGTAGGACTTATACCTTTACATTTCTCATTGGCTAATTTCAGTGCTGGAGATATTGTCACTCTCTTAAACGGAATTGGTAGATGCACTGCAATAGTAATGGAGCCATCAAACATAGAGGTCTGCAATGACTTCATTGACAACTTTAACAAAACGGCTGAATTCTTGATAAGCACTAAAGTACCAACATTACGAAACATTTTCTTCATGAATTCAACCGATGAAAAGTTTATGACGACTCAGGATATCTGCAACATCGGATCAATGTCAGAGTTCACTTTGCCTCAAATTTCAGCGGACGACATATGTGGCGTTTTTCTAACTTCTGGCAGTACTGGGATCGCGAAAGCAGTTTCCCATACACATTTTAAAATGATGCATGCAGGATATAGCTGGGGGAAAAATCTTGAAATTCAGCCAGGGGAAAAGTTCTACAACAACATGCCATTTAGTTGGCAAGGTAGTTATCCATCAGTTTTTCTGGCAATGAAGGCTACACGTGTCACTGTTACTGACATAATGGCTATGAAATCTGTGACTGAAATAACAGACTTTACTGTGCGTGTGTTGAAAGAGGAAATCTGTACATCTGCTTTCTTCATTTCACCAGTTATATCTGAATTGATAAAAAGAGAAACGCAGAATCTGGACATTTTCCCACTGCGGGTTATTAATACAGCAGGTCTTCCAGTGGACGCTCATTGCGCCAATGTAATAGGAAAAGTTGCAAATAAATTTGGAGTGGTATACGGATGTACGGAGATTGGATTTATCTCTGTGTTATTGGTTGATAAAACTGAGGACTACGACCATTATGCTTGTGGATACCCGGTTAGTGGAACAGAAATCAAAGTCGTTAATGATGATGGAGGTATTGTTCCGATAGGAATTACAGGGGAAATATGTATCCGTCAAAGAGACCGTTTCCTCGGTTATTTGAATGCTAGGGAGAAAAATGACTTTTGCTGTGAACCGACTGGTTGGTACAAATCAGATGATATCGGATTCATAAAGCAGGATCGTAGTCTTGTTGTTACTGGCAGGAAATCAGACATTATGATACTTGGAGGCGTATTGGTGTCACCTTCCTTTCTTGAAGGTATACTGAAAAAACACCTTTGTGTAGCTAATGCATATATCTATCCTGTACGTGACACTCAAATGTTTCAGAAAGCATGTGCCGCGATACTTGTTAGGAAGGGCAAAACTGTGAGAGAAGATGAACTAAAGGACTTTTTAATTAAACAAAAAAGGACATACTCGGACAGTTTTTTGGGCAATCGGTTTATTCCTGAAATATTCTTGTTTTTCGACACATTTCCAAGTACTCATAGCGGAAAATTAGATAGAAAACGATTAAGGGAAGAAATTCAAAGACGGATGTCTGCTCCTTGATTGAAATGTTAAATATATATATCATGGAATATTTTATCTTAATCAGATACGTGATACTAAAATATAATTATGACTAAGCTATTTTTTATACGTAAACAAAAAGGTATGTCAGCTACTACACAGATAAGGATAGGAAACAATTTGAATTGAAATTAGACTTATGTAAAAAAAATGTTTCCATCTTATATTCAATATTGATTAAATATTGAATCCTGTACTTAGTATTACTATTTACATGCTCATAATTGTTAATCCGGAAAAATACTTTTTAAAAATAAAATTGTGCAAAGTTGGATCTATAGATGCAAACATTCAACGACGAAAAAACTTTTTGCCACCTGATGATGACGAATGGCGGCCTAATATCCAGCGGCAAATTGATATGTATATTCAGGACGAGAACATGTTAATGTAATATGAATATAAACCATGCTTTGTACTAGACCTACACGCTGAGCCGGATTTTTAACGTGCTAGTTCACAAGGTAGCAGTCTGCAGGAAGACATGTCACCTTACGCGGACACATTATTCTGGTGCCAAGCCAACCAGTCTTTGGTCTTACTCCTTTATGCCGCGTGCTTAGCGGAGAAGCAGCAAATACCAATTTTAAAGTCTTTGGTTTGACCCGACCGGGGTTCGAACCCGAGACTCCCGCACTCGAAGCGAATACGCTACCACGAGACCACCGAGGCGGTGTTTGCCATCTTATAGTATATAAAGATGAATACTATATATATCTGCTCAAAGCTTGACAGTGAGTGAACTTCTAATTTTTATGCAGCAACATTTCAGCAGCACTTTAATATGGAATTCTTATATATATCTTCAAGTTGATACAGTATTTCATGTGTTTTATGGACCATATATGATTAATTGACGTGAAATTAAAATCCCCTCCCCTTTTCCAAAAAAAACCCACTGAAAAAACCCAGAAATTATTCTATTAAAGCAAATAAGCTTAAATCCAAAAAACACGTCAATATGCTCACTGAATTATCTGATATCTATTTTATGACGTTAAAATATGTCGTTGTATTGCTAAATTGCATGTTGAATGGATTGTTTCAAAATTATATTATTGAAACAAAGCATAAATTTACGTCAAATCATTTGGCATATAACGAGCTCAGTAGTGTTTTTGGTACTGACATGATTTATAACTTATTTCCTAAAAAAGTATAATGAATGAGAAATTAAGTGATTACTTAGAAATGAAGGTTCCAACTCTCTCATACAAAGTTTGCTGCAGCCGAATCTGGCTATTCTTTTGATCTTTTTTTGTCATATGGCTCCTGACTATGGCATGGTATTGGTTGCAAAAATTTGATATTTTCTTTTAAATGCAATATTTTTTTATATAATTGGTATATTTCTTCATTTAAATGCAATATTTTTTATTTAATTGGTATATTTCTTCATTTAGATGCAATATTTTTTTATTTGAATGGTATATTTTTTCATTTAAATGCAATATTTTTTATTCAAATGGTATAATTTGTCATTCAAATGGTATAATTTGTCATTCAATTGCAATATTTTTTATTCAATTGGTATAACTTGTCATTTAAATGCAATATTTTTTATTCAATTGGTATATTTCTTCATTTAAATGCAATACTTTTTTATTTGAATGGTATATTTTTTCATTTAAATGCAATATTTTTTATTTAAATGGTATAATTTGTCATTCAAATGCAATATTTTTTATTCAAATGATATACTTTGTCATTCAAATGCAATATTTTTTATTCAATTGGTATATTTCTTCATGTAAATGCAAATTTTTTTTATTTGAATAGTATATTTTTTTCATTTAAATGCAGTATTTTTTATTCAAATGGTATAATTTGTCATTCAAATGCAATATTTTTTATTCAATTGGTATAGTAGTTTTTTTATCTATATGCAATAATTGCATTATGGGAAATTCTTTGACGTCTTAAGGTCAAATTTGCAACAACGTTTCTGATTGGTCGGTAATTGTTTGGATTTCCCCCTTTCTTTCTAAACATGAGTGACCAAGAATTAAAACAACGCGTCGGAATATCGCCCTTCTAACTAAATTTGGCGTTCTTGCGAGTTCGTGCACTGGCTGTTAATGCCAATAATGGCCAGGTCGAGCAAAAAATGCGAGTGACAAGTAATAATAATTATTTTGACACACAACCTGTTCATGGATAGAAACAGATGCCTGCATGCATGGCAAAAACACCTCCAATGAAAACGCTTTCTGAAGAAACTCCCCGACAGACCACACATTGAAATAAAAAAAAATGCATAGCTAGCCCCCCTCCCCTCTAAGTCCAGATACATGTAATCATGACGTTCTCTGATGCTATATCATTTTTTCTTTTCTTGATCCTCGAGCTCAGAGACGTTGCAGGAAGGCAAACATAAAAAAGAGTAAAAAGCCTTCCAGAACGTTATAATTATTTGGACTAAGCCCCATCTTTTTTGCTTCATGTAGAAAAAAATCACCTAATTACGACAGCAGAACCAGAGACCCAGAAGAAGAGACCTAAGCTGTGATACTCCGGAACTAATTCTTTAATAAAGACAATTCGGGATAAATTGGAACCAGTTACTAACCCATGTTACAACAATAGTCCTATGACATAGGACGTACACTGTATAAGGCGTGAACTTCACATTTTGGACTATCTATAATATGTGCTCTCATGTCTTATGCCGCAAATCATTTTACATTTAGGATTCGTTGCTGAGCTTTTTTTTACTGTTCACATCTCCGAATCCCTTAAATAGAATTTGTTTTTCAAGCCCCACAGTAGTTCAATAATAAATATACCTATGTCTTTGCATAAATAATCATGCAGGGCATATTTCAAAACATATTTTTTCTTCAGGACTTTTAAACGATTTACTTTTCAATACTGCATTGGGAGGGGGAGGGGGTATACAAGTTTATTTTGTGACACAGTATATAATATAATTAGATACAAATCTCTATGTATCCAACAAATTATAGGATTATGCGTTTAGCAATTATCTAGACCCGTACAAAATGTATAATATTATAAATTTATGAATTCAGATATATTAGAATGTGAGCTATGTTATAAACGTTTTATGGTATGAAAGCCTTAGTAAGACATCCCTGTAGGACGATAAGCTGGATAAATATATGAACTACACGGACAATTACAGTTAAGGGACGATTATTTGATATTCTAGGTAAGGGATTTTGATTGATTGTTGTTTAACGCTACTTTCAACACTATTGGGCTATTCCGTAGTGGTCAGTTTAAATTTATAGATAAAGGATGGGGAAGGGAAGAGAGGGCATTATAATTATTCATTTTAATCTGTCGCTAATCGCGTGCCTATTTTTCAGCTCTTACCAGGCAACCATACTCATATATATGAAATCCTTCTGTCCCCCACCCCAACAAATAAATAAATATCAAATGGTTTTCCTCTTATTTAACACAAGTTTAAAAATAAATTGATTGATTGTTTTGTTACTAATTGTTAACGCCCAGTGACAAATATTTCATGCTTGTTCAGGAAAACACGAGTTTAGAAGTCAGGTATATAATATAAAAACGAAGAGATGGGATATGATTGCTAATAAGACAACTATCCACCGGAGTTCAAATATGAAGTGGATGTAAGCAATTTTACACAATCGTAAGGTCTTCAACAATGACAAAAACCTGATACTGTAAAGTCGTCTATAAAAGGTCCGACATGAAAAGTGTGAACAATTCAAACGAAAAAAACTAACGGCCTAATTATACATAACAAAACAATTTGCAAAATATCAATTACGGGTCGAGACATGAACTAACGACAACCACTAAACTACAGGCTCCAGACCTGGGACAGGCAAATAAAGAATAGTGCAGGGTTGATATAAAAACGAAGATGTGGTACCGTATGATTGCAAATGAGACAACTCTCCACAAGAGACCAAATTAAACAGAAATCAACAGCTATAAGTCTCCGTAAGGCCTTCGACAATAAGCAAAGCCTACCACATAGTCAGCTATATAAAAGGCCCCGAAATCACAAATGTAAAACAATTCAAACGAGAAAACTAACGGCCGAATTAATGTACAAAAAAAGGAACGAAACACAAATATGTATAACACAGCAACAAAAGGCAACCACCGAATTACAGGCTCCTGACTTGGGACAAGCATATGCATACATACAGAATGTGGCGGGGTCAAACATGCTAGCGGGATCTCAATCCTCCCCTAACCTGGAACAGTGGTGTAACAGTACAACAACATGTTTGTGAGCGGCACTCAACCCATCCCGAAGCTGGGACAGTGGTGTAACAGTACAATAAAAGAACAACCTGCACTAATCAGTTGCAATTAGATTAACTCAAAAGATCGGTATGAGACACACAAAAAAAAACTAACATTAAGACAATAGACACAACGCACCGACATAAGAGTATTTACAATTACTGGAAGTTTGCTCAAAGCTAACTACAACTAGTACTGGAATAAATCTTGTTCTCCCAGACTGAAGTATCAATCAGTACACAGCGCGCGGCAAAGAATTTATTAAAAAAGAAAACAGTATGAGAAACGCCTGGTTTATGTTGTATATAGTTATAAGAAGATGTGGTATGAGTGCCAATGACACAACTCTCCTTCCAAGTCATAATTTGTAAATGTAAACCATTATAGGTCAAAGTACGGTCTTCAACACGGAGCCTTGGCTCACACCGCACAGCAAGCTATAAAGGGCTCCCAAAAAATGACTAGTGTAAACCATTCAAACGGGAAAATCAACGGTGTCTAATCTAGTTAAAAGTTTTTGAAAAGTGGTGGTCCGAACGTTTTGACCATCGAAATTTTGCAATAGAAATAATAGTTAGGACCAGAAGATTTTAACAGCCAGGGCAGGACTCGCACGAACGCCAGATTTAGTTAGAGGGGCGATATTCTGACGCGTTTTTTAATTCTTGGTCACTCATGTTTAGAAAGAAAGGGGGAAATCCAAACAATTACCGACCAATCAGAAACGTTGTTGCAAATTTGACCTTAAGACGTCAAAGAATTTCCCATAATGCAATTATTGCATATAAATAAAAAAAACTACTATACCAATTGAATAAAAAATATTGCATTTGAATGACAAATTATACCATTTAAATAAAAAATATTGCATTTAAATGAAGAAATATACCAATTGAATAAAAAAACATTGCATTTGAATGACATATTATACCATTTG